TTTGCCTTTAATTTTTTTTCACCGCTGGGCACAGGGGTTCATGCTTATAATCCCAGCACTTTGGGAAGCTGAGGAAGGCAGATCACCTGAGGTTGGGAGTTTGAGACCAGCCTGACCAATATGGAGAAACCCCATCCCTACTAAAAATACAAAAAATTAGCTGGGCGTGGTGGCGCATGCCTGTAATCCCAGCTACTCAGGAGGCTGAGGCAGGAGAATCGCTTGAACCTGGGAGGCGGAGGTTGTGGTAAGCCGAGATTGCACCATTGCACTCCAGCCTGGGCAAAAGAGTGAAACTCTGTCTCAAAAAAAATAAACAAACAAACAAACAAAAAAAAGAATTTCTCTATACCAAGAGTCTTACATGCATGCCCCTGCGTGCATGATGTAAGACTCTTTGTGAAAAGAAATTAATTACCCCCAGTAAACTACATTATAAAGACCCAATGTCTAAGACAGGCAGTTCATCTAATCCATCAGAGAGAAGGGTTCCAAAAGTATGTAAATATTAAACGCTAGTCAAAAGAATGAAGCAAAATCAATAGCCAAAATTAAAACAGGCTTCACTTGTGACACTAGTAGACTAAAGAACACTGTCTTCAAAAGAAAAAGATTAGAACTTGAGGAAGTCTCTGAATATTTTTTTAAAATCAGTCTGTCTCTATGAAATTCTTAAATATGAATTGTATTCCGTGTAGCCATTAAAAACCACGATTTATTTATTGACATGGAAAGACATCCATGATAAACTATGAAGAAAGTAGGTTACAAAAAGGTATTTCTATTTTTGTCACATTTTTGTAGAAACAAAACAATGCTCTTCCTCTCACTCTTTACACTCTCTCTCTCTCTCATATATACATATTTTTAAAAGAGTGGAAGGATGCTTATCCAAATTGCTAACAATGATTTTCTCAGAATGTAGAATACAGAGTGATTTTTACTTTATTTATACTTTTTTGCATTGTTTGACTGGGATAAAAAAAACCCCACATAATATATTTATAGCTAGAAAAAATAAACCAATTTCCATTTTAGAAGCAACATATGATGAAAACCAAAATAATAAAACTCCTCATTTTCTTAAATTCTCCTGCAAAGTACTCAAAAAAGACCTCTTTGTACCTTATCAGCACTTCAGCTTTAGTTAAGAACATCAATTGAAGTTACTTCAAATGTCCTGAGAATTCTTAATTTCTCAGATTATTGTTTTAATTAAATGGTTGATCTTTGGTAATGTGCAAGAGTACTATAAAACCACTTCCTTTATTTTACTAGCTACAGTTTTCCTAAGAACTAAAGTTAATGCTTGATGCCTGTATTTGGAACACAGAGCTTCCCTGGAGGAAAAGATTGGTTTCGTCTTATTTTCAATGCTAAAGCAAAATGTGTGGTTTGGTTGGGTTATTTAAAAAATAAAGGCAAGACTTTTAGTGGGTGCGGTGGCTCATGCCTGTAATCCCAGCACTTTGGGAGGCCAGATGGGGAGATCACCTGAGGTCAGGAGTTTAAGACCAGCCTGGCCAACATGGTGAAAACCCGTCTCTCCTAAAAATACAAAAAATTAGCCGGGTATGGTGGCGCATGTCTGTAATCCCAGCTACTCGGGGGGCTGAGACAGGAGAATCACTTGAACCCAGGAGGCAGAGGTTGCAAAGAGCCACGATTGAGCCACTGCACTCCAGCCTTGGCGACAGAGATAGACTCCATCTCAAAAAAAAAGGCAAGACTTTCAGTTGACTATCAAAGTTCTAACCTTCTGCACAAATCTTAAGAGTTTCAGCATTCCAAATTTAACTCAAAACAAAAGCCTTTGCTTTGAGTCTACAAATGCTCCTTTCAGTTAGAGAAGTGCTAATTTGTCCAAAGTCATACAATGCATTGACTCATTTTCTTGAAGATGACTCACTCAATAATCTGAAACATAATGACTATGTTTGTAACAATTCAAAACAACTGTAAAATGACTTGTCATGTGAACTTTGAATTCAGAGGCGTAAGTTACATTTTCTGAATTTATTTTATAAATGTAAAGCAACTGAAGATGCATATTTTAGTAAGAAAAGAATTGCCAGCTCTGCCTTCATAACTGCTTCCTTCATGTTCTTCCAAGTCTCTATGTAGTTAAAATTATTTTAATATTTAGAGGTTCACACCAAATTCCAGAAGGTTATCAATGAGAAAATGATAAAGTGATGTTACATCTCTTTAAAGCTTTAGCTTTACCAAAACACACAAATTTTGAAAGCTATCAGCAAATATTTATTGGGCATCCAGTATGTGCGTATGTGCAAATGATTGTTGTTATGGGTTTTCAAAGAGGTGTACTCCAAGCGTGACTCCTGGATCAGCAGCATCAGCAGTATTTCAAAACTGGCTTAAAAATACAAATTATCTCTGCTTCCCCTTTACTAATCAAACTCTGCATGTGCAGTCCAGTAATTAGTGATTTAACAAACCTCTCCAGGTGATTTTGATATATTTTAAAGTTTGAGAATCATTGCTTCAGATGATGATGATGATGATTATTAGAGACATGGTCTTGCACTGTTGCCCAGGTTGAGGGCAGTGGCGTGATCATGGCTCACTGCAGCCTTGACCTCCCAGGCTCAAGCAATACTCCCACCTCAGCCTCCCGAGTAGCTGGCATGCCACTATGCCCAGCTAATTTTTTATTTTTTGTAGAGACAGGGTTTTGCCATGTTGCCTAGGCTGGTCTTGAACTCCTGCCTCGGCCTCCCAAAGTGCTGGGATTACAGACATGAACCACCACACCCCAGTCACTCCAGATTATTAATACTGTAAGAATTGCATCCCCCTGTTCCCTTTTAAATAACAATAATAACATTATGATTATTTTTTGAGACGGAATCTCATTCTGTCATCCAGGTTGGAGTGTAATGGCGCAATCTTGGCTCACTGCAACCACCGCCTCCTGGGTTCAAGTGATTCTCCTGCCTCAGCCTCCTGGGTAGCTACAGGTGTCTGCCACCACGCCTGGCTCATTTTTGTATTTTTAGTAGAGACATGGTTTTACCATGTTGGCTAGGCTGATCTCGAACTCTTGACCTCAAATGATCTGCCCACCTCAGTCTCCCAAAGTGTTGGTATTACAGGCGTGAGCCCCTGCGCCCGGCCTTAAATAATTATTTAAGAAAGAAATATATCAAGAAATACAGACAAGATTTATATAAATGTATAATGTTACTTTTGGTTAGGATATAAAACATTAAAAAAATTAAAAATAAGATATAAAACAACTATGAAAGGATTCCTTTAAATTTTTATATATTCTAATCAGAGGACTCATTACCACATGCCTAGATTACTGCAATAACTACCTTAGCAGGCCTCCCTGATTTAAAATGATCTTTTCCTCCTCTCTATTCTGCATTAGCTTCTGAGGAATCTTCCCTAACTACTATAGCTGTCTCATGGCATTCTTTGGCTGAAAAATCTGTGATGTTTCACAACCGCTTATTTTGAAAAGGGAGAGGTACTACCTTTAGTTAGTAATCTAGAGCAAGCAGCAAGCTTGTGCAACCCATGGCCTATGGGTCACATGTGGCCCAAGATGGCTTTGAATGTGGCCCAGCACAAATTCATAAACTTTCTGAAAACATTATGAGATATTCCTGATTTTTTTAAAAAATTCATCAGCTATTGTTAGTGTTAGTGTATTTTATGTGTGGCCCAAGACAGTTCTTCTTTTTCCAATGTGGTCCAGGGAAGTCAAATAATTGGACACTCCTAAGAGGCTCAGATGGGAAACGTAAATGAGGAAAGTAAGCCACGTGAATATTGAATGGGTAGAAATACTTTCCAATTTCCACAAAGAAATATGCTCATCTCGGTTTTGTTTTCCTAGTTTTATTGGAGGTACTACTACAACAGTGCAGGAATGATGACAAATGGTGACACTTGACTTAAGAAGACAATAGGGGCTGGGCACTGTGGCTCATGCCTGTAATCCCAGCACTTTGTGAGGCTGAGGCGGGTGGATCACAAGGTCAGGAGTTTGAGACCAGCCTGCCCAATTAGGTGAAACCCCGTCTCTACTAAAAATACAAAAATTAGCTGAGCGTGGTGGCGCATGCCTATAATCCCAGCTGCTTGGGAGGCTGAGGCAGGAGAATTGATCGAACCTGGGAGGTGGAGGTTGCAGTGAGCTGAGATTGTGCCATGGCACTCCAGCCTGGGCGACGGAGCGAGACTCTGTCTCAAAAAGAGGATTATGGTAAATTAAGAACCCATGCTAGACCTCACCTAACTTTAAAATTCTGGCTTACATTTTTTTAAAAAAACGCTGTGATCCAAACAAAACATATCTCTGGCCTATACACTGCCAGTTTGAGACCTCCAGTTTACAGCACTAAATCCATATTTGCCTGCCTTGTTTTCTAGTCTCTATCTTCCCAATAATAATCCCCATACTTAGACAGCATTTTGCACTATTCAGTATGTTTTCATGTCCAGTTGACCCTCTCAACAGAAGAGGTAGTCAGGAGATGAGGAAATGAGCATAGACAGGGTAAAGTAACTTGTCCAGTATCATATGACTTAGCACCTAAGTTCAAGTCTCCTGAGTCTGAAGCCAGCATCAATCTTTGGCCATTTCACTCCTTCCTTGTCCTTCTCTATGTGTGTTTTTGCTTGTTAAGTCCTTATCTAGAATAATTTCTTTCTACCAATCCAAATCTCATCATCTTTCAAGAGTCACCTCAAGCTCCGCTGACTACATAAACCTTCCTCATCTAGGTCAAATCCCCAAGTTTTTTCTTGATTTTCTGAACTTCAATTGTTATTATAGTTAATAACTTACAAACTGGTGCTTATCAACAGTCTTAAACCATCAAATTATTTCACAACATTCCACATTATCTTCTCTCTTACTTCACATAGTTCCCAGCACTGTGTTGGGATGTAAAAATGACTGTTCGATGTTGGCTGGCTATCTTAGTCTTTTGAGGAAGAAAATTATGATGACACCACTAACTTACCAGCCTGATGTTGTCTTCTGGGCGGAGTAATATGAACATTGCTTGGAGATGCTGTTGGAGATCGCCTGGTGAAATTTACAAACCAAAGGATAATTATTCTCCATTCTAACGTTGACAGAGAGGATTCCTTCTACCTCAGTGACTTTTGTAAAAGAAAGTTCTGATTCATTAAAGGACTCTGATTAGACATAGAAAATTAAATGATTATTGACTTCTTTTAAAATGGAAAGAGAGACTGCTAGACTGCATCTTAATACATTTGCTTTTAGTCTATACTATATTAAAACTTAGGTCTGTCCTATGAAAGGTACACTTGAGACCAGTCTCAGTTTTGTATTATGGTGGATGTTGATGAGAGACTTGTTGTTGAGATCTGTTAGGCAGAGGCAGCACTCACTGGCTGTATTTTCAGGCTCACTGAAAGTAGCAATGAGGGCACTTTGAAAATGGGTGTAGTAGTGTAGTGTTAGAGGAATTATCCATAACTTTTAAAAAGCTAACCATTTTGTCATTCCTATTTCTATAATCATATGCTTTGGTTGCATTTGACCTAACAAGACTTTTGGATTCTCCCTAGAATAAGGTCAATAGTTTAAAATGACTTTCATATTAGTGACTGAAATTATTATTTATCTTAATTTTTTTTTGAGACAGAGTCTCGCTCTGTCACCCAGGCTGGAGTGTAGTGACCGATACTATAATGAGAGTATATACACACACACACACACACACATATATGTGTATATATATTTTTATGTGTATATATGTATATATATGTATATACATATGTGTGTGTGTGTGTACATATGTATTTTTTGTTTTTTTTGAGACGGAATCTCACTCTGTTGCCCAGGCTGGAGTGCAGTGGTGCGATCTCGGCTCACCGCAAGCTCCGCCTCCTGGGTTCACGCCATTCTCCTGCCTCAGCCTCCCAAGTAGCTGGGACTACAGATGCCTGCCACCATGCCCGGCTAATTTTTTGTATTTTAGCATTTTAGAGATGGGGTTTCACCATGTTAGCCAGGATGGTCTTGATCTCCTGACCTCGTGATCCGCCTGCCTTGGCCTCCCAAAGTGCTGGGATTACAGGTGTGAGCCACTGTGCCCGGCCAATGAGATTATATATTAAGTATGCCACATAAGGGATATACATTCTCCTGAACATATTATTAGGTTCTTTAAAATGGCCAACCATTATTTGAATCCTCACTTGTTCTTACACATTTTGTCAAACTAAGTTGAAATTTCTTTGTTTTAACTATTATAGATTTCCTCATATTCCTAGGAAATCCGAGGCTTTAGATAGCAGGAGATAAATAATGTACTATCATAAATTATGAAAATCTGTGAACAAAAAAACCTCACTCTTGCCCACTCAGATATTGCCCTTATTAAAGTCTAAGGTGACTGATACAGTCACATAACCATGAATGCCACTATAACTTGTTCTCACATTGGTCTTGAAATCTACATACATAATTTTCCTTCAGTTAACTAATAGCTGTTAATTATGAGATGAAATACTGTTATGTACAAGAAGTGGATAGAGGCAGGAAGAAAAAAAGTAGGTTGGCAAATGGGTTGGTGCGTTTATACAAATGACAGCAAGTCTGAAACTCTTTCCTTTCTTCTTAAACAGAATAGTTTCCTTACTCTCACCACTTTGGGAGGCTGAGGTGGGGGACTGCTTGAGGCTAGTGAGCTATGATTATGCCACTGCACTCCAGCCTGGGTGACAGAGTAAGACCTCACATTTAAATATAAATAAATAAACAAAAAACCAAACACCCACCCCCCCACCCCAAATCAAAAAGGATGGTTTTCACTGCTGGCTTCTGACCAATTAATTCCATATTGCAGAATCTTTCAATTTTCAAAATTAAAATGGAGAGTCATTATGTTTGGCCAGATCCATTCTACTACCTTTCAAGGCCAGGGACACAATCTTAAGTCTCATATGCGTAAACCCAAGAGAAAAGAAAACATATGTCCACCCAAAAAGTTGTACACGCATGTATATACAGCATTATTCATAATAGCAAAACAGTGGAAACAACTCAAATGTCTATCAAATGATGAATGGATAAATAAAATGTGGTATTATCCACAAAATGTAGTATTATTTGGTCATGAAAAGGAATGATGTACTGATACATACTATACCATAGATGACCTTTGAAAACACGCTAAGAAAAAGGAGCCTGTCTCAAAAATCCATTTATATGAATCCGTTTACAGAACACCCAGAATAGGCAAATCTACAGAGACAGAAAGTAGATTCGTGGTTGCTTAGGGCTGGGAGAGAGGGTGAGAGAAATAGGGAGTGACTGCTAATGGGTATCGGGTTTATTTTCAGGGCGATAAAAATGTTCTAAAATTAGATTGTGGTGATGGCTGTACAACTCTGTGACTCTTCTAAAAACCAATGAATGTACACTTTAAATAAGTAAACTGGGTGAATTACATGGTATGTGGATTATATCTCAATAAAGCTGTTAAACAAAAAATAAAAGGACAAGTATGAGGAGATAAAGTGTTAGGCATAAACAATGAAAAGCTACCTGAGTTACAAGTTGCAACTGCATTAAGCAGCTGAGGATACTTTTTATTTTATTTTTTCTCGAGACAGGGTCTTACTCTGCCACCCAGAATGGAGTACAGTGACGCCATCACGGCTCCCTACAGCTGTGACTTCCTGGGCTCAAGCAATCCTCCCACCTCAGCCTCCAGGGTAGCCAGGACTACAGGTGTGCACCACAACGCCTGGCTAATTTTTTGTATTTTTTGTAGAGATGAGGTTTCACCATGGTGCCCAGGCTGGTCCCGAACTCCTAAGCTCAAGCAATCTGCCTACCTGGGCCTCCCAAAGTGCTGGGATTACAGGCACAGACCACTGCACCAGGCCGGAGCTTCTTTAAAACTAAGTTTCCTTCTGTCCTACCAGTAGAAATAACCAGAGGAAAGGATTTTTAGGGTGGAGAACTTCTGGAGGAGAACCCTAAATAGCAGCCCAAAGTCTCCACTCCGAACACTACTGGCCCAAAGATTCAGCTGGCTTTTCTGAAGCTCAGACAAAAAAAGTCAGGAGGCCTACTCAAGTAAGCCTTCTTATGTGAGTTGGAAGCTCAGGTTTGTTAGCTGCGAAAGTACTGCTCTGAGCAAACTGCATATCATTTCCTACTGGGCAACTGTTCTTCACAGAGTCTAATATAAGGCAATATATTGACATGGCATTAAGATAACCTTCCCTACATTTTCCCACCATATACTTCACTGCTAGGAGCTAAATTTCAATTTTCTATTGGATTTTATAGACTTTTCATTGTTTCCATTTAAAATACTGGCAGACATTCGCCTGTAATAGCCTTCTTTGCAAAATACTATTTGGATATTTCAAATGCAGGCCAGTTAAAAAATTCTAACTAGTTCAAGAAACACGCATAAGGAAATACAACTAGACACGGTAAGCCCTTGACCTGCTCTCAATTCTGCCATCAACTTGCAGTTACTGTGGGCTTGGCCAAGACAGCTTCACTTTATGTGACAGCCTGGCTCTTGTAAGCCAAGTTTATACTCGCACTGCCTCATCTGTTCCGGTCTGGATCACAAATCAAGTCCATTCAGCTTGTGTTAAATCTGCTTTTCTTTTTAGTATGAGGAAAGCTAAGTGAACGATGTCAAGCAGAAACCTGGGTGGCAGCTGAGTGTAGAAGTTTGACCAAAGAAAAATGCCAACCAGTGCCAGGAGCTTTAAAAGCCATTGACCCCATTAACTATTACATGCCATAGAGTAATTTGCCCAACATCCTAGTCAAACTGGATTTAAACCAATAATTTGTCTTCTTTTTACTGTAAGGGATAAATATCCACATTAAAAAGAAATAAAAAGCTTAGTGGGCATACTTCTTCCGCACATTCAAGTGTTTTGGGGAAGCGTCCTCCCCTACCCGACCTCCAGTACTGGACACTGGGGAGGAAGGTTTTAGAAAGTGCAATCCAAGCTAATTTCCAAAAGAGGTTATTTCCTCCCTTACTCTAAAAAATTTTCCATGGCTGGAGAGTTCTGGTAGGAGGAAAATATTGTCCAAACAAAATGGATTACAATTCTGAGCTGCCACAATTGCAACTAGGTGAAGGCCCAGACAAGTAGCAGGGCAGCCACTAAAATAGCAGATATTATCTCACTAAAGCTATGCTCAATTACTGGCTCAATGGGATCCAATATTTTTGGCTTTCACCTCTGACCTAAACACTTAAGGTTATTGTAGTCTTTGTTCCTTTCTTAGTAATTACAATTTTTTTTCCCACTCCTGGAGGTCACAAGTAGTCAAAGTGTCACATTTATGACAACAAGCAATCTGCCTCTTTGTATACTATTGATCAGGATTAGTGTCCTCAAGCTTTTATTTTTTTTCCCCAAAATGATAAATAAGGTCTGCCGGTAGAAGAGAAGCATCAGGTTATCTTCTTAAACTGTGGATATTCTACACCTGGAGATCTCTCTCCCTAGGACACATTTTCTACGGTTCTTTTTAAACGTCATCACCACAGGTGTTCCTGATTTTAGAGAAATCCAATATAAAATAATACAATGCATATACTACTGTTAGTTGATATTTCAAAACCAGAGCTTATACTCATTCTTTGTTTATTTGATGCCTCTTTGTTTATAGAAGTCCTCTGGGTTAAATTTCCAGTCTTTTTAGTGTATACAGTCAAGTAGTAGACACTGGCACTTTAATATGTGACGTAATAACTCATTATCACAGCAAAAAGTTTATCTTAGTATATTCTGTATCATTCTCCTCCTCATACCATCACTAGAGAGCAGAAAGAAATCAGAAATTGAATCTTTGATTAGTTGAAGTAACTCTGAAGTAACTCTGAAGTAACAGCTAAACTTTTTTTTTTTTTTTTTTTGAGACGGGGTCTCATTCTGTCACCCAGGCTGGAGGACAGTGGCACGATCTCAGCTCACTGCAACCTCCGTCTCCCAGGTTCCAGCAATTCTCCTGCCTCAGCCTCCTGAGTAGCTAGGACTATAGGTGCGTGCCACCATGCCCGCTAATCTTTGTATTTCTCTTTTCCTTTTCCTTTTTTTTTTTTTTGAGATGGAGTCTTACTCTGTCACCCAGGCTGGAGTGCAGTGGTGCGATTTCGGCTCACTGCAAGCTCCACCTCCCGGGTTCACACCATTCTCCTGCCTCAGTCTCCTGAGTAGCTGGGACTACAGGCACCCACCACCACACCCGGCTAATTTTTTTTGTATTTTTAGTAGAGACAGGGTTTCACCAGGATGGTCTTGATCTCCTTGTGATCTGCCCGTCTCAGCCTCCCAAAGTGCTGGGATTACAGGCATGAGCCACCATGCCAGGCCTAATTTTTGTATTTTTTGTAGAGATGGGGTTTAGCCATGTTAGCCAGGCTGGTTTCAAACTCCTGACCTCAGGTGATCCACCCGCCTTGGCCTCCCAAGGTGCTGGGATCACAGGCACGAGCCGTGCCTGGCTCTTTTTTTTTTTTTTTTTTTTTTGAGACAGGGTCCGACTCTGTCACCAAGGCTGGAGTGCAGTGGTGCAAAGATGGCTCACTGCAGTCTCAACCTCCCAGGCTCAAGTGACCCTCCCACCTCAGCCTCCCAGGTAGCTGGGACCACAGGTGTACACCACCACAATTCACTAATTTTCTTTTTTTGAAGCCAAGTCTTGCTCTGTTGCCCAGGTTGGCATGATCTCGGCTCACTGTAACCTTCGCTTCCCAGGTTCAAGTGATTCTGCTGCCTCAGCCTCCAGAACAGCTGAGATTATAGGAATGTGCCACCAGGCCAAGCTAATTTTTGTATTTTAGTAGAGACAGGGTCTCACCATGTTGGCCAGGCTGGTCTCGAACTTCTGACCTCAGGTGATCCACCTGCCTCAGCCTGCCCAAATGCTGGGATTATAGGTTTGAGCCACTGTGCCCGGCCACACTTGGCTAATTTAATTTTTTTTTAATTTTAATTTTTGTAGAGATGGGATTTCACTATCTTGCCCAGGCCAGTCTCAAAGTCCTCGACTCAGGCAATCCTCTTGCTTCAGCCTCCCAAAATGCTGGGATTACAGCTGTGAGCCAATGTGCCTGGCCCACCTGAACATTTTTAACCTGAACACTCAAAACCTTAACTGAGGGCCAGGCGCGAGGGCTCACGCCTATAATCCCAGCACTTTGGATAACCGAGGCGGGCAGATCACCTGAGGCCAGGAGTTCGACACCAGCCTAGCCAACATGGTGAAACCCCATCTCTACTAAAAATGCAAAAATTAGCTGAGCGTGGTGGTGCATGCCTGTAGTTCCAGCTACTTGGGAGGCTGAGGCAGGAGAATTGCTTGAACCCGGGAGGCGGAGGTTGCAGTGAGCTGAGATTACGCCATTCCACTCCAGCCTCGGCGACAGAGTGAGGGTCTCGGAAAAAAAAAAAAAAAAAAAAAAACCTTGGCCGGGCACGGTGGCTCAAGTCTGTAATCCCAGCACTTTGGGAGGCTGAGGCAGGTGGATCACCTGAGGTTAGGAGTTCGAGGCCAGCCTGGCCAACATGGTGAAACCGTGTTTCTACTAAAAATACAAAAATGAGGTGGGTGTGGTGGTGGGCGCTTGTAGTCCCAGCTGCTCAGGAGGCTGAGGGAGAAGAATCGCCCCCAGGAGGTGGAGGTTGCAGTGATCTGGGATCATGGTACAGCACTCCACCCTGACAAAGCGAGACTCCGTCTCAAAAAAACAAAACGAAACAAAAAAAATCTCAATCTTAACTGAGAAGTTTCATATAGCTTCATTAGAGTATTTTGGTACCTTCTTATAATTATTCTAACAAAAATGTATTGAACATCTACTAAGTGTAAAAGACTTAGTTTGCTAAGTGCTAAAAAAATGGTCTCTGAGGGTAAAAGAAAAGTGATTACAGCACAGTACAACACTTTCTTTCACCATTTAAAGAACTTCTGAAGAGATGGGGATGAGGTAATCAGCCTTTTAGAATGTAACACAAGATATAGTTACCAAGAAAGAAATAGTATATATGCCAGCGTTACCTGCATGTTTGTTCCGTCTGTGGCTGATTCTTGGTGTGGATGAGCCATTTCCCCGTGGTAGAAAAAGGGCAGCACCTTTGACAGTTAGAAAGCTCTCGCTGATGCTACAAGGAAAAAGTCAAAAGAAAATATATTATTTAGGAAAGGAAATCAAAGGATAGGATGGATAACCACTTTAGGATTCTCTCTTCCCTATTCCAAAGTTCCAACTTCATGGAACGAAGTAAAAACATAATCAAGAGAGGCTGTGGTTACTCACGCATACACTCCTGCCTACTCTAGACAAGTTTTCTTTCTTTTTCTTTTGTGAAAGGGAGTCTTGCTCGGTTGCCCAGGCTGGAGTGCAGTGGCGCAATCTTGGCTCACTGCAACCTCTGCCTCTTGGGTTCAAGCGATTCTCCTGCCTCAGCCTCCTGAGTAGGCTGGGATTACCGGCACCCGCCACCATGCCTGGCTAATTTTTGTATATCAGTAGACAGGGTTTCACTACATAGGTCAAGCTGGTCTCAAACTCCTGACCTCAAATGATCCGCCCACCTCGGCCTCCCAAAGTGTTGGGAATACAGGCGTAAGCCACCGTGCCCATCCTCTAGATAAGTTTTCTGAAACAAAACTTACAATATTCTTCTTTTTTTTCTTTTTGAGATGGGAGTCTCACTCTGTTGCCAGGCTGGAGTGCAGTGGTGCGATCTTGGCTCACTGCAACAACCTCCAACTCCTAGGTTCAAGTAATTCTCCTGCCTCAGCCTCCTGAGTAGCTGGGATTACAGGAGTGAGCCACTATGACCAGCTAATTTTTGTATTTTTAATAGAGACGGGGTTTTACCATGTTGGTCAGGCTGGTTTTGAACTCCTGACCTCATGTGATCCACCCACCTTGGCCTCCCAAAGTGCTAGGACTACAGGTGTGAGCCACTGAGCCCAGCCAAAACTTACGATATTCTATATACATTACATGGCGGCAGTTAAGAGCGGAGGCTCTGAAACCAGAATGTCTGAGTTTGAATCCTAGCTTTACTTCCTCCTACCAGAGTAGGCCTAAATTTCCTTATCTGTAAAACAGGGATAATAAAATGAAGTTGTTGTGAAGAGCCAATGAGAACACAGCATCTTAAAGTGGTGCCTAGTATACAGCAAAAAGCCCTTAATAAATATTAGTTATAAGTAGATTAGTAGAAGGTTATCAGTAATGATATTTCAATACTGTCCTAATCAGATGTGAAGTATGTTACAATATTTAGCTACTAATAATAGGTCCAAAGTTTGCAAAAAAGATTTATGTTTAAAATATACACCACAGTAAAGTATTACCTCAAAATTTTACTACTGCCAACTTGCATCCCCATACTCAGTGAAAAGAAGTAGTGGGCAGGAAGTGTGTTTAACCCACTGGAGTTTGTCATTCACAAGATGATAATAAAGGTGCAGAATTACTGCTGAGGATAGCGGCTCTTCAAAATAAAATTACTGGTCTAGTCACAGTGGTTCATGCCTGTAATCCCAGTGCTTTGGGAGGCCAAGCCAAGAGGACTGGTTGAGGCTTGGAGTTTGAGACTAGACTAGGCAACACAGTGAGACTCCATCTCCAAAAAAATATTTTAAAAATTAGCTGGGGGTGGTATCACATGCCTGTAGTCCTCGCTATTCAGGAGGGTGAGGTGGGAGGATCGCTTGAGCCTAGGAGTTCGAGATTATAGTGAGTTATGATGGCGCCATTGTACTCCAGCTGGGGTGACAGAGCAAGACTCTGTCTCTTAAAAAAAAAAAAAGCAAAAAAAACTAGTGGATACCCATATATAACCAGAAAATAAATCTAAGTTATTTCATATCAATAAACTAAATAAGCCTTTCAAGTTATCCATCAAGTTTCTCACAGAATCTGAAAGGATAGAACTTAACTCACGAAGGCCAAGTTTAGAAATACTTAATAGAGGATTCTAAATTGCTTTTGAGTATAGCACTGCTATTGAAGGTTAGCTAGCGGATTGTAAATGACATTGTCTACTCAATATTTCCACTTGGAAATCTTAATTGGCATGTTAAATTCACGTTGCCAAAACTAAATTCTTGAGTTCCCCTACCCTCAAGTCAATCTCTGGCCTCGTTCTGCAGCCTCATTCTCCCAGTTGTTTAGGCAAAACACCTAATAGTCATCCTTAGTGTCTTTCCTTCCTATAATATATATCTAATCCATTAGCAAGTCCTGTGAGCTTTACTTTTTTTTTTTTTTTTGAGACGGAGTCTCACTCAGTCACCCAGGCTAGAGTGCAGTGGTGCGATCTTGGCTCACTGCAAGTTCCGCCTCCTGGGTTCATGCCATTCTCCTGCCTCAGCCTCCCGAGTATCTGGGACTATAGGCGCCCGCCACCACAACCGGCTAATTTTTTTGTATTTTTAGTAGAGACGAGGTTTCACCGTGTTAGCCAGGATGGTCTCAATCTCCTGACCTCGTGATCCACCTGTCTCGGCCTCTCAAAGTGCTGGGATTACAGGCGTGAGCCACCGCACCCGGCCAGCTTTACTTTCAAATATATCTTGAACCTGCCCACTTATTCCTATCACCACTATCACACTGGTCCATGGCACCATCATTCCTTACTTGGACCACTATTTAAAAAGTTTTTCTTAAAAAAGCCTTTTACTACAGAAAATGTCAAACATACACAAAAGTAGAGGGAATACTATAATAAGGCCCCGTGTTCCCATCACATTCAAGCTTTAATTTGTGGCAAATTTTGTTTCTTCTACATCCTCACCCATTTACCTTGTCCCTGAAGTGAAACAAACCCCAGGCACTGTATGAAAACAAAAAACAAAAAACAAAAAAACTTCTTAACAGGTCTATCTGCAACCACTTCTGCCCTCCATCATCTACTCATCAAACAGCAACCAGAGTGACTTAAAAATCATATAGATCATACAGTGTCACTTCCCTGCTTAAAACCCTCCAAAGGCTTCCTTTTGTACTTATAAATAAAAAAGCCAGTCTTTAGCTTGGTCTTCAAGGCCCTGTAACATACTACAGGACTACTCCTTTGATCTTACATCATCTCCCCTTTTGTTTACCATGATCTGTGATTCTTCTTTCTGTTTCTTCGATGTTTCAGGGCCTTTGTGCTCTCTGTTCTCTACTTGGAATACTTTTCTTGTGGCCTGTTACTATGTAAGTCTCAGCTCCAATATCACTGCTCCTTCCCCCAATTCCAATCATACTTTATCCTGTTGTTCTGTTTTGTTTCCTTCAGAATATTTATCATAAACTAAAATTATATTTATTCACGTGCATACTTGTGGTTACCTTCCTATAGTAGAATATAAGCTCCATGAGAGCAAGGACTTAATTTTGCGCATCACTGTAGCTGCAGCACTGGAAACAGTGTAAGGCACATATTAGCTGCTTGAACAATAGGTGATGGATGAATGAATTTATCCCAGGTTTTTTCCACACTGTATATCTGTCCTGTCACTGTAGCAGAAACTGTAATTTAGGACAAGTCTCACATGTAAAAATAATCATTATAGAACTCAATATATGTGGCAGATTAATGGACTTTAAAATGTTTGATGATAGATTAGCAAATGAAATTAAATCACCTCTATAACGTTATCAGACACTGATTCAATTTTATCCTTTAATAAAGTCCATGAAGCTAATAAAACCTTTGAGGTAACCTGCCAAATAGACTGAAACATGTCTTCTAAAAACAAAAGAATAAACAAATGTCACTTTAAAAATTTGCATGCTGGCTGGGTGTGGGGGTGTCTTGATTTTGTTTTGTTTTCATCTTTAAATAAAGCATTGCTCTCTTGTGGTCTGTTGCACAAGCCTTGTCTGTTGTTACGTCCGTGATGTTCACATGCCACCCTACTGTGGGTCACTCTGTTCCACTCACATTACGGGAACAACCTAAAACAAAATGTCTGAGTGACAGGATGAGTGGGCTACACCACAGACAGGAAATGAAATTCACACTTTTGCCAACACAGCAACTGTTGCTTTACTAAATGAAAATATTTTAAAAATAAAGGTTAAATACTCTACCTATTCACCAGGCAAAGTAACAGCTTTGGACACTGTAGGTTCCAGTAAACAAAGGAGTTCGCTACATCTACAAAAGAAGTGTGTGTATTTGTTGAACAGTTTAAAACAATTGAACATACTTCAGTCATTCCTTTTGTAAGATAGGTAGTTTCTCTTTGACAAACACTATTTTAAGAACTTCCTGGTTTTTGGAGTTCAGTAATACTGTTTTTTTTTATAGATATATTTGTTGCTTATGCTTTAAAGCATATCTAAGTACATTCTTGCTTTAAAGCATATCTAAATGTGTTATTTAAAATGTATGTAGGGCTTTCTCAAAGTAAGGGTTAAGGAGCTAAACAAAGGCCATTGGTTAGTTCAAAGCCACCTGGACTCTGAAAACTCCTGATTATAAAAGAAAGGTCAGGAACCAAACTCACATATAGTATAAATATCACAAATTCACACATAAGAGGCTTTCCTATTTGAAACACAAATGTCAATAAATTTTTCTGATGGAACAAAATACACAAGGTAGGCCAATAGACTACTATTTGTTTTTTGTTTTTTTTTTTTTTTTTTTTGAGATAGAGTCTTGCTCTGTCGCCCAGGCTGGAGTGCAATGGTGAGATCTTGGCTCACTGCAACCTCTGCCTCCCGGGCTCAAACGATTATCATGCCTCAGTCTCTCAAGCAGCTGGGACTACAGGCATATGTCACCACACCTGGCTAATTTTTGTATTTTTAGTAGAGATGGGGTTTCACCATGTTGCCCAGGCTTGTCTGGAACTCCTGACCTTAAATGATCCGCCCAAAATTGGCCTTAAATTGGCCTCCCAAAATGCTGGGATTACAGGTGTGATCCACAGCGCCCGGCCCGAGACTACTATTTAATACTATTATAATAGGTGCGATATAGGCTCCCAGAGACTTGTGGCAGACAATCTGGATGGTATAATCAATCCTCTTTATTCTGTGGCCCCAGGTTATGACCCCTCAGTTATCAAAAAAGTGACATTCTGTTGGTCACAAGGGGACCAGAAATAAGTGTGTGGCTGATTACAAAAATCTCTTATCATAACGGAAAAAAATTCATAGCATGGAAGTGATAAAACAAAATTTATAACCACCACCAGGGTTTAGGGAGATAAAATTCCACTTGAAAATTAAATGCTTTATTTGCATCTGAAGAAAATTATATGTAAATTTAATTGCATATACTTTTGTGTAAGGTAAAAGGTTGGTATATCTTGCCAGAATAATAAAAGATTTATTATGTAAATATGTCTTTCTGAAATAGTTGCTTAAAAATTCAATTGACATGGAGTTGTCAGTTGTCTAATTAAAAGTCTGTTCTTGCTGGGTGCAGTGGCTCACGCCTGTAATCCCAGCACTTTGGGAGGCCAAGGCGGGTGGATCACCTGAGGTCAGGAGTTGGAGACCAGCCTGGCCAACATGGCAAAATCCCATCTCTACTAAAAACACAAAAAAATTAGCCGGGCGTGGTGGCGGGCGCCTGTAATCCCAGCTGCTAGGGAGGCTGAGGCAAGAGAATTGCTGGTACCCGGAAGGCGGAGGTTGCAGTGAGCTGAGACTGTACCACTGCACTCCAGTCTGGACGACGGAGTGGAACTCCGTTTCAAAAAAAAAAAAATCTGTTCTTTAAAAAGGCAGGTGAAAACTTTTTCATGTTTCTGAATTGACTAGTTCTGTAGAGTCTAGCACAGAAACAGAACAGCAGTAAACTCTATGAAGTCATTTGTATGTGATTACAGATGCCTAAGTTAAATATAACCCCAAAGGACTTAAGAAGCCCTACAGTAAGGAATAAATGAGATAAAGAGAATACTATTTTCTTGATCTAAAGAGAATAATTAGCTGCTTGATACAAATATGACAGGATCACCTTTCTAATAGAGCACTCGTGACAGTGAAGTCCTCCAGAGTCTTTATAACTTAAAAACATCTATGCTTCTCTTTGCCATAGACTGCTTGCTCAACAAGGGGAAAGTCAGCCCTGGTTAAGAAATATATATATATATGTATATATATGTGTGTGTATATATATGTAAATATGTGTGTGTATGTATATATAATGAGCTAATAATAGCTAACTCAACTATATATCTACTGTATGCTGGGTGCATTTTACACTACTTTATTTAACCTTCCTAACAATTCTATGAAGTAGGTACTAGTAAAAGACTGAGGGCTCAGAGATCATAAATTACTTGCTTAAGATCATACAGCTAGTAAGCCTAGCAAGCCTCAGAGCAAGGATTCAAACCAAGATTTGACTTGAAAGCTTATGTTCTGAATCTTTCTCTACCGTGTTGTTTTCGCTTTATGATATAGTTTATGGTAGACGAAATACAATGTCTTCCGTATACACCTTTTCAACAGAATGGAATTTAAAAGTAGAGTACAGGGGCTGAGTGTGGTGGTTCATGCCTGTAATCCCAGCACTTTGGAAGGCCAAGGAGGGTGGATCACTTGAGGCCAGGAGTTCAGGACCAGCCTGGCCATCATGGTGAAACCCCATCTCTAATAAAAATACAAAAATCAGCCAGGTGTGTTGGCTCACACCTGTAATACCAGCACTTTGGGAGGCCAAGGAGGGTGGATCATTTGAGGCCAGGAGTTCGAGACTGGCCTGGCCATCATGGTGAAACTCCGTCTCTACTAAAAATATAAAAATTAGCCAGGTGTGGTGGCACACGCTTATAATCCCAGCTACCTGGGAGGCTGCGGCAAGAGAATTGCTTGAACTCTGGAGGTGAAGTTTGCAGTGAGCTGAGATCATGCCACTGCACTCCAGCCTGGGCAACAGAGTGAAACTCCATTTCAAAAAAAAAAAAAAAAAAAAAGAAAAAAAAAAGGTAGAGTACAGGAGTGAGAGAAAACTACTGAAATCCATTTGGATTCCAACTCTTCTCATTTTCCCCAGCACTTTCCCAACAAGGCCATAAACAGAAAGACCATACTGAGGGGGATAAAGAACATGTCTGAGAGATGAATCCAGACAGTAGAGCAAGTTGTAATATCTGCTGGGAATGACGGTGGCATCTCAGTCTCAAAATATTGAGGAAAGAGTACTCGGCCTTAAAAATATTTGGGAAAGTGCTCTGTGACAATCCCTTCTGATCAAAATCACTTCCTAAAGTACAACATTTGTTAACTGGTAGTTTCTTCTTAAAAAGTGTAGAGGAAAAGGTCAACTAAGGGAAGAAAATACTTAACTGTTCTGAGGTTGAAATAATCTTTGAGGAATGTGGCCAGGGTGATCATCCATGACCAGCAGGAAGGTCAAGAAAGCAAAACAAAGCAACAACATACCTGGCCTAATTGCTGAACGTCAGTTGGATAGAAATTCCACTGTTCTACATGCACACATACAAGAAATGGCTCATTTACTATGAGAAATCAAGTGGCAGAAAGTAGATGTTATACTAAAATGAAGGAAACAGATTTTCATGTTTATAATGTTTGTAATGCCAAACTCTGGAGTTGGTTTGAAAATTCTGCTTGAAGCCAAAATCAGCAGGCATATTATTGTGTAATATTGGCTGCATGCAATATTATTGCACAAGGTGAGTGGTTGGTATTTACGTTAATTTCAAGTACCACACATAATCTGAACTCATACTTTCGTCTTGAAGAATACTCATCTAGCAAAAACTTTCAAATACATTCCACTCTCCCAATATTTTTCCCCTCCTGATAAGCTTTCTCTGCTTAGTTAATTTTCAGATTCAAGGTGCTAGGACAGCTTCTGTCAACCCCACTAGGTGGAAAGGAATTCATGTTCTCACTTGGTGTGACCACACCACAGACAGGGAATTTCATAATAAAAAGTTTCAAATATCAGACCAGAGTTCAAGGAACTACACAGCTATCAATACTAATGCCTAATGAAAAAATCTGGCCAAACTCCTAAAACAGGAAGGAAAAAGTAATTATTCCTTGATGTATGCAACCTGGCTGCAAAAGTCAAAAGGACACCTCCAGGTAGTGAAGAAAATGTGATTCTGTAATCCTAAAGGAATTCAGAATACAACAGGAGAAAATCCAAACCCAAATATCGTACTGTTCTCTGTAAGTAGACATTCCTCCCCTACCCCCGCAGCATGACCAAACACTGAATATTAGAATGCCCAGCCATACCTGGAATCCTCTCTCTGAGGGCATTGATTTCCCAGACACATGCCTCTGAATGCAAGTGTCAGGATTATTTCTATCCTTATCACCAGACAAGCAGAGACTGGGCCACGTGAGTAGACCAATTACTGGCCAAAGCAGAGAAGAGCTTAGGACTCTGGTTCTTACTCAGTAACAATAACCATCAGACTTAGTTCCAGCTAATCTTCCACTTAAACTCTGTTGCACAATGCCCAGCACAACTACGCTAGGATGCAGCTATCTGTTTTTCCCCTTTCCTAAAACTGAAGGGGAGAAAAAGGATCTTTTTGTTTAAGACTGAGAGACAAATTCCAATCTGGACAAAACTCCCTGGTCATTTCACTACAGATCATAAATCGAAGGCAAAAACAAAACAAAAAACTCAAATTACTTGTTCTGCTCATTTTGAATGTTCATTTACTGATAAGATCTTCTAATTCCATTTTTGCTTTAACCATGTGCATCTTAGAAATGTCTGACAGAGACATAATTTAGGATCAATAATTTTACCACTGGTCATACAATTAACCTTCTAGTTTTTACAGATGGGGAACATCTGCTTTGACATTTGTTGTTTTTGGCTGTTCAGCAATAGATTTATCTTTTTCAATATCACCCTACTCTCCTTTTGGGGAATCCATTCAAATGTGGTTTTGGTGGCTTCCAACTCTGGAACTGCAAGGGGTTTTGTAGGAAGCTGGAATGTGGCTTACATCTGGCCAGCTGGAAATTCTCCCCTTGGAATCTGAATCTCCCCTGGAAACTTTCCCCTGGGACCATACCCCATTATTCCTATTGCTTTGGATACATGGGGAGTGTCGAGGTATGGGACAGTCTGCTCCTGCTCCCTGGTCTTCCCTGAATGACCCTAGCTCTTTCCTTTGAACCCCAAATATCTGAGACAGGTCTCAGTCAGTTTAGGAAGTTTATTTTGCCAAAGTTAAGAATGTATGCCCATGACACAGCCTCAGGAGGTCCTGACAACATGTGCCCAGTGTGGTCGGGGCACAGCTTGGTTTTATACATTTTAGGGAGACACGAGACATCAATCGATATATGTAAAATGTACACTGGTTCTGTCAAGAAAGGCGAGATAATTTGAAGTGGGGAGAGGACTTCCAGGTAATAGGAAGATACAAGACAAATGGTTGCATTCTTCTGGGTTTCTGATTAGCCTTTCCAAAGAAGGCAATCAGGTTTGCATTTATCTCATTGAGCAGAGGAGGCATGACTTTGAGTTCTGTCTGTCCTTTGTCCACAATTCCTAGTGAGGGAGGTATGTAGCTTTTAAAAATCTTAGTAGCTATCTTTTTAGGAATAGAATGAGGGGCAGGTTTGCCCTAAGCACTTCCCAGCTTGACTTTTCCCTTTGGCTTGGTGATGATTTGGGTGATGATTTGGTGATGATTCTGAGATTTATTTTCCTTTCATACATCTGTTCTCTAAGTTTGGTCCTCTAGTCTTCCATTAGGATGCCTGACATCTTTCTGACAAATATTTTACTTATGATAGTTAAAATTCATTTCTGGCTGGGCGCGGTGGCCCACGCCTGTAATCTCAGTACTTTAGGAGGCCGAGGTGGGCGGATCCTTGAGGTCAGGAGTTCGAGACCCATCTGGCCAACATGGTGAAACCCCCATCTCTACTAAAAATACAAAAAATAGCCAGGCGTGGTGGCATGTGCCTGTAATCCCAGCTACTCGGGAGGCTGAGGCAGGAGAATCGCTTGAATCCGGGAGGCGGAGTTTGCAGTGAGCCGAGATCACATCACTGCACTCCAGCCTGGGCGACAGAGTAAGACTGTCTCAAAAACAAAACAAAACAAAACATTTCTGAGCTTGTGACAGAGAATCTAACATATCAACTGAAGCCCAGAGAATTTACTGATTTACCCTAAAATCACATAGCTAGTTAGCAGTAGGGCCAGGCTTAAGCCCCCATGTCATCTGACACTCTGGGCAGCACTTTAGTCCTTTATTCTGTTAGATGTTATTACAACAGGACATATTGCTAAATAATAGCTTAAACAACTAGCAGTTAAAAACACTGCTGGTCAAGGCTGGGCGTGGTGGCTCTCACCCGTAATCCCAGCACTCTGGGAGGCTGAGGCAGGTGGATTACAACATCAGGAGTTTGAGACCATCCTGGCTAAAACAGCGAAACCCCGTCTCTACTAAAAATAGAAAAAATTAGCCGGGTGTGGTGGCATGCGCCTGTAATCCCAGCTACTCAGGAGGCTGAGGCAGGAGAATCACTTGAACCCGGGAGGCGGAGGCTGCAGTGAGCCAAGATTGCGCCATTGCACTCCAGCCTGGGCGACAGAGTGAGACGCCATCTCAAACAAACAAACAAACAAACAAACAACCAACAACCAAAAAACACCACCAACACTGGTCAGTTCATCTGAAGAGAATAAAGGCAGGATTCCACTGCAAAGCTTGGTATGATGCTTGTTCTACTTTTCTTTCTCTTTCTTTTTTTTTTTTTTTTTTTCTTTTAGCTTTTGGTTTGAGTTTTAAAGTACTACCAAATCATGGAAGATCAGAGCTCGAGGGCCTTTAGGAGTGTAAGGCAGGGCTCTAAATGGAAGTAGTTGGGCCTAATTCACCATATGTCTTGTGAGACCAAGCACAGATCTAAAATAATTTTGACTTTTGAATACCTTTGAAAAGAACACACCCTATCCCATTCCTCCAGGTAGCCACCATTCTTGGATTTACACCAGGCAGCCTTGCTACAAAACACTTCTGAGTTTGAGCTAAGACCCAAAAGACCAGACTTTATCACGACACCACTGCTGTCTTCTTGTCTTCCTCTTTGTGCGGCCACCTTAGCAAGGTTCGGCCTCAGTCTTGCCTCCAGTAGCCATCCAAAAATAACCACTACCTCCCTCACCCCCAAACAAAAACAGAAAACAAAAACCTAGGTGCCCAGGAAAGGAACTGGTCTCAAGCAACTTCCCAACACACAACCGACCCTAGTTCTCCTGGTGACTGACAGCGGTGGAGAGTTTTGTTTTTGAGAAGGTCCTCCTCCAAAGAGAGGAGAAACTGCCTCAGCTCAAAGGAACCCATTTCCCTTACAGACTGAATCCACAAAGCTTCTTGGTCCTGCAGCCCTAAACTCTAGATTTAAATACCATTTCAAAATGGAAAAATTTAAAAGCTGTCTGGACCCAAAAGTAAATGACCTGAAAAGTTCTTTCTCGGTATTTAAAATGCTGGATGTCTTGGTTACTAAGAGACATGACCAACATGTCTTTTTGTTTTGTTTTGCTTACAAACAAAATAAACAAAATAAAAGGAGATTGACTCAGAAAAACTGTTCAGCATTTGAAAAATAATTTCATTTGCATGATTCAACAAATGCCTTCCCAGGCATTTAAAAACACACCTGCAGAAGAAACGCAAATTAGGCTTTCAAGCATTTGGCCTAAGTATCAAACCCTGTTTTCAGACCATTCTCTTTCACCCTTGGCAATGTGTCTTTGAGGCTAAGGTCATCTTCTGTTCTTTGTTGCTGTTACCTTCTGATATCCTTGTCACTCTTTTTTTTTTTTTACCCTTTATCTTGTCCAATCTTATTTCCCCAATTCCTACTATAATCTTAAGATATTTCAGTGTTCATACAGATGAACATCCAACAACTTTGTCTCAAAATTTCCCATCCTCTTGGTCTTTAAAGACCTTCACTCCTTTTAGACTTCTAATTCACAGGGTCCCTCTGGAAGTCACGAGTTCTTGATGGACTTAATTTCAGAAATTAAACTCTCACTTTCTGATTACAACTCCCTCTCCTTGTAATTCCCAAGTGTTCACTCCCTCTTCAAGCTGAGGGAGACTCCTAGACCCCTGATTCCTCAATTTTTCCTTTTTTTTTTTTTTTGTTTTTTGAGACAGAGTGTCGCTCTGTTGCCCAGTAACGGTGCAATCTCGGCTCACTGCAACCTTTGCCTCCTGGGCTCAAGCAATTCCCCTGCCTCAGCCTCCAGAGTAGCTGGGATTACAGGAACGTGCCACTGCACCCAGCTAATTTTTGTATTTTTAGTAGAGACGGGGTTTCGCCATGTTGCCCAGGTTGGTCTTGAACTCCTGACCTCAGGTAATCAACCAGCCTCGGCCTCCCAAAGTGCTGGGATTACAGACGTGAGCCACCACGCCTAGTGACTCCTCAGTTTTTTTTAGGCTATCAACCTCCTTTTGGCTTTTTCTTCCCTAACCAACCTAGTCCCATGTCCTATTTCTTTCTTTTTTTTTTTTTTTGAGACGGAGTCTCGCTCTGTCACCCAGGCTGGAGTGCAGTGGTGTGATCTCGGCTCACTGCAAGCTCCGCCTCTTGGGTTCACGCCATTCTCCTGCCTCAGCCTCCCAAGCAGCTGGGACTACAGGCGCCCACCACCACACCCGGCTAACTTTTTGTATTTTTAGCAGAGACGGGGTTTCACCATGTTGGCCAGGATGGTCTCAATCTCCTGACCTCGTGATCCACCTGCCTCGGCCTCCCAAAGTGCTGGGATTACAGGCATGAGCCACCGCGCCTGGTCCACATGTCCTATTTCTTTCTTTCTTTCTTTTTTTTTTTTGAGACAGAGTCTCGCTCTGTTACCCAGGCTGGAGTGCAGTGGCGTGATGTCAGCTCACTGCAACCTCCGCCTTCCAGGTTCACATCATCTCCTGCCTCAGCCTCCCAAGTAGCTGGGACTACAGGCACCTGCCACCAGGCCCGGATAATTTTTTGTATTTTTAGTAGAGACGGGGTTTCACTGTGTTAGCCGGGATGGTCTCAATCTCCTGACCTCGTGATCTGCCCGCCTCAGCCTCCCAAAGTGCTGCGATTACAGGAGTGAGCCACCACGCTTGGCCTCCATGTCCTATTTCTCAACTGGTTTCCCTACAGTCTATTCTCTTTGCTCCTGATTTCCCTTCATAATACTACAGCTTAAAATGATATGGCTATTTGATGTGTTATTTATTATTATTATCTGTCTGAGCAGTAACTCTCTGTTGTTTAGCACATTACCTGACACTAAATAAATGTTTAGTAATTATAGTAATTCTACATTGGAATCAATGAAAGAAAAGCAGCTGAACACTTAAGGAGGTAAGAAACCATGCCTCTGGATGCCACAGCACATTCACGGTCTCAGTGCAAGGATATCAGAGATGACAGCAACCACACTGACTTGACTCAGCGGGGCACTTAACACCTCTGGACAGCTCCCTCTCCTATTCTTTTCCACTGTTATTTCAAACCCTCTCTACTCTCCCAAAGTCCCATTGCAACTCCTATTTCCTTCAACTTTCCACAGTTAACTTGACCTTCTACACTACCAAGAAAATGGAGGCTAGCTAGTGTGATTTCTCTCAATTACTTTCTCTCACCTGCAGACTTATCTCCTTCAATCTGAGAGAATGATGCATTCAGCTGTCACCTATGTCTTTGGTCCCATTCCCTCAACTCCTAGTTTTCTCTCTCTAGTGACTACTTCTCCTCAGCTTGGAAACATGCTCAAGTCTGGTCTCTCATACCCTTAAAAGAAAACAACCTCCATGCCCCCAAACCTTAACTTGATCCTGTGTTCTAAGTTCTTATTTATTTATTTATAAATTACAGTCCAGAGGTCTTTTATTTATTTATTTTGTTAACACCTATTATGCCATGAATTCACAGGGAGTAGGTTCCAGCAGCTCAGGCTCCTTCCCATTGGTTCTCACAAAGTGTGCTTCTCTGGGTGGAGCAGGCTTCAGTTGAACCAAGGTACCTTTCTCTTTGGCTTCTTTCTTTTTCTGATCATTTTCCTTCACGTGTTTCAGGAAGCTATCTTGGCTCTTAGAGTGCTTTATGTGCTCAATACACACATTAATTCTCTTGGCAAGAATCTTGCCCTTAACTTGTTTGTTTACAACAATGCCAACAGCATGCCAGGTCACACTGTAGACTCTCCAGTTTAGCCATGGTAACACTTGTGGGGCATTCCTTTTTGGACAGCACCCATTCCCTTGATGTCTACATTATCACCTTTCTTATAGATTCGCATATACATGGCCAAAGGAACAACTCCATGTTTTCCAAAAGGCCTAGAGAACATATATCAGGTGCCTCTCCTCTTTCCCTTTGTGTTCGTCATTTTGGTGAATTACTGGAAGATGGCAGTTCCGGCTGAAAGTCTAAGTTCTTTTTATTAAGAAGGAAGTCTATACTTGCTGTCCCCATTTTCTTCCCTTGCCAGTCAATTTTTCTACCTACTGGCATCTTGCTTCTGTCTCACCACTCCTCTGAAACTCCTCCCCCACTCTGAGTTTGCCAATGATTTCCCCAGTGATAGATCCTAAGGACAAAGACCCCCAGTCTTTAGCTTAGCATCAATTTCTGCTCTTCATTTAATACCTAATGTGTACCGGCAAATCACTTTCTCCTTTTTGACTACCCTGCCCCTGTTCCCCTTAGTTTCTAAGACATTAAGTCCCTCTGGTATCTCTCTGACCATTCCAGTTCCATATCCTTTGTCAGTAACCCTACCCTATCCACTGCCCTTAAAACAGAGAGTCTGTTTGACCTTCAAAGTGCTTTGAAACATAA